TCCCGTGGCCCACAGCTCTGCCGGAGGGCCTGTGCGGGGCCCACTGCACCTGCCCCCTGGAGAAGCCAGAGGTGCTCGGGGCCCGTGTCCAAGCACCACCCGTCCCAGAACAGCCTTCACCCAACGGCCGATGGGAAGCAGGTGGCGTATAAATGGTCCAGCTCCCTCGCGGCCGGTTGGGGGGACATGTTCTACGCCGACCCCAGGGTTCCCCAGCAGGGTTAAGCTGCCATGGCCACAGCGGCGACTTGCCTCACCACCTACGGCTGGCCTCCTTCCCGGTCTCAATTCCTCCTTCTCCTACTGGGTATTTTCTGGAATCACCTCTCCATATAAACTACCTGCCTGGGAATCCCTGTCTCAAGGTGTGCCTCTGGAGAAATGAGCTGAGACACACATCTGATTACATCATCGCTTTGCTTAAAACTCTTCATGGGGGACCTGGGTGGCTCAGTTGGTTGAGCGTCCGTCCAGCTCTTGGGCTCGGCTCAGGTCATGATCTCACAGGTCTGTGAGTTCGAGCCCCACGTCGGGCTTTGTGCTGATGGTGCAGAGCCTGCTTGGGATTCCGTCTCCCTCTCTCTCTGTCCCTCCCCTGCTCTCGCTCGCTCCCTCTCACTCAAAAATAAATAAATAAACTTAAAAAAATCTAAAAAGAAAATATCTTTAAAAGTCTTCACTCGCTCTTTGTGGGGCCCAGACTCGCTAACAAGTCCCACATGCTGACCTCGCTCTCAACTCTGCCCTCGCCCTGTATCACTGAGCTTACTGCTTCCTCTGCTGGCCATGCTCTCTCTAGCCCTTCCCACATGCTGCCTCCTCTTTCTGGAACTCGTCTCTACCCTAGGTCCTTCTCAGCCTTCAGGGTTCAGTTTCAAAGGTAGTTTCTGGTACATCTGGAGGGCTCAGTCGGTTAAGCATACAACTTTGGCTCAGGTCAGGATCTCAAGGTTCGTGAGTTTGAGCCCGCCATCGAGCTCCACAGTGACGGTGCAGAGCCTGCTGGGATTTTCCCTCTCTTTCTCTGTCTCTCTCTGCCCCTTCCATGCTTTCTCTCTCAAAAATAAATTAACTAAAAAAAAAAAAAAAAA